AAAGTAAGTAAAGAAAGAAGCAAAGTAATGAATTACTTTTTGTTATCCGAGATCTTTAATTTAAGCTTTAATAACGACGATTGCGATTGCATAAAAGTCTTTTAAAAAGTAAAGAACGTATTAGAATTTAAAGATAGATTTAAAGAACTTTTTGACTTAAACGTTTAAACGAAGCTCCGCTTTAACCGTAAAGTCTTACCGTCCGCTACCGACTTATTAAAAAAAGTCTTTTGCGAAGTCTATACTTTCGAATACGCTAAATACTTTAAGCTAATTACGAAAGGCTTTATATCAATAGTGATCCGTTCTAACTTATATCGATTTATCGAAGCTTTTTAAACTAACGCTTTTAACAACTTTATGCTTTACTCGAGCAATTAATCGATGTTCGCTATTAAAACTAAAAGCAGTATTTTAGTTAAGAGAATGTCTAGCTTAAGCTTTTTTAAGTTTAAACCTAAGCTAATGTCTTTTAATAAGCTGAACTAAAGTATTAGCTTAATAGGCACCGCTTAGAAAAACAGCTTCTTTAATACTTTAAATGCGAGTAGTTATACGAAAGTTTAGCTTATATTAAAAGCTTCTTTTTTAAACGATAAGCACGACAATTAAACTTTCTTTACTATTATGAACAAAGAGATCCAGATATACTTTTATCACTTTCGGATCAGTGATTTAAAAAGAGCTTTGATTAGTGCACTTTTTAATATAATACACTTTTTAACTTAGCAAGTCTTCCGAAGTCATTATAAGCTATACTTTACTGCTTTGCTTAATCGCCGAGACGGGAACTATAAGCTTATCGCTTACTCGGAACCTTTTTAACTTTTTAAATATAATAATAATGCTCGAGTGATTGCGACTAAGCACGACGCTAACATTAAACGACTCGTGAACCGTAATTCACGAATAAAAAACAGAGTTTTAAACTACCACTTAATGCTTTACAGCGTAAAGAGTCAGATCGGAAGCTTGGCTATTTAGCTCAAAAGCTATACTTACGATATTACGCTTAAAAAGACCGCTAGATAAGAAGCTTTTAAACTTAAATCGAAGACTTTAAATGCTTTTAAGAATATTGCGCCGCGCTAACTTTTCGTTATAATTAGTGATTTCGTTACTTTTATATTCGTTATTACGAAACAAAGTGTTTTTTTAAATATAAACGCTTTTTAGAATTCCTTTTGCGAATAAGCTATCTTCTTTAATAACTACACCGCTTTGCTAAACGATAGCACTTTAGAAAATAAAGTTAGCTTTGCAAAGCACGCTTGCACGATCGTCTTAAAACGCATGCCGCTAACCTTTCGATAAAAAGTCATTAATAAATCAAGCTAGCCTTTCGCTGCTATAATCTAATTGAACTACGTCAGTTTCGTATTAAAAGCTTTAATCGGAAAAATAAATTAGAACGAACTTCGAGTAATAAAAGAATTGACCGTTATTTTTGCTATATCTCGGACTTAATTTTAAGAACACTTCATCAAGCATAAAAAGAAGTTGTTTTCGGCATTTAAAAAAAGATTTGCTATTATTTTAAATGTTAAAGCTAAGACTTACGAAGCTAAGTGTCGGAGTACAATGGCCTCTACCTTCTACGGGCATGCGGCGGACAGGAATAAAAGGAACGACGGATAGGAATAGAAAGGACGATAAAGGTAGTAGTGGACTTAGCACGTAAAGGTAGCACGTGCGCCCGCGGTCCTTTTAAAGGACCGCTATTACTAGTATAGCAATACTAGACATCTAAAACACAACTAATACTCAAACTGATAGTATTATTAAACACTTGTGTATTAACACTGATCAGTAGTTAATAAACTATAGATTCGCAAGGTCCAAAAGAGATAAGATTAAGTCTAAGGAGTTTTTATTAACTTCGCTTTTCATCTTGTGCTAACGATACTTATTACCGGTTTTCGGTTAAGAATCGAGAATCGAACAACCCTTTTACGAGAATCGATTGCGTTTATTACGCGCGAAAAGATCTAAGAAGCGGACAACTCTTTGCGAGCACGATTCTTACTTTTCTTTTCAAAGAACTGTTTCTTTAGCTGACAAGCTAGCAGATCTATTATTATATTCGTTCACCTTTTAATTACTACGAATTCCTTCCTTTACATACGAATTCGCTGCTAATATATCGGTCTACTCGGCTATATCGAACGTATTAGCTAGACTTGTATTACTAAGACTAGAATGCTAAATCAATCTTTTGACTTAAAGATATGACTTTGACTTTATTAACTTCGCTTAAGTTATAGACCTCTTTACAATTAATAGCTATATCGCTATGTGTTTAGAAAGCTATAAAGACACGTATAATAGCAAGCAAAAAGAGTCTTTTTTCGAGATCTTTTTATAAAATTTTAATAGATAAACGATTAAGATATAAAGACACGCTTACCGATCGATCTGCCGCTAGCTTCGAGAACACTTCGTGATAAGTAGAGTATAGATCAGACTAGCTAAAAGTATCTTTTAAGTATTAATCTTTTACGCTTTAAGCTAAAAAGACGAGCTAGAGTTATAGACTTTTGTTTATAAAGATGCTAAGAACAAGATCATCGCGGAACAAAAGGTCAAGGAAGCTAAGAAAATAGCACTTAAGCAGAAACAGTAAGCTAAAGATAAAGCAATAACGGCGACGGCACTTATTGTTATACCGACGGCACTTGCACTTGCTATTATACTTGCAATCGAGCTTACAATTGAACCTGCAATCGACTTTACAATTGAATTTACAATCGAGCAAAAAAGACTAGCTACAAGTACTAACCGCACTTTATTAAGTGACCTTTTTAATACTCGAGGTTTCGCTATTTTGTTAACCGCACGTTTTTTCTCGACTTCGGTACTAACCTTTAGTAAAAAGATTAATACTGAATACTAGATCTTTTTACTACTTAACACAACCGTCTTTCTTTACGTTAGATTACTTAAACTACCTCGAGCAAGAACTAGCGATTACGTTAGATAGATTAATGACTTTTCGAAAGTATACTAAGATATAAAAAAGAAATATAAAAGCGCTGAATACGAAGTCTTTATCGACAAGCTTAAGATTTTCTATAAAAACTGCATACGCTTAAGTATCTTTTAAAGCGACGAGGTAGGCTACGCAATAGCTTTCTCTTTAATGCTTAAAGACGAAGCACACTAGTACTATATGATTGATATTTACGGCAAAGATATAGAGTTTTAAATAATAACTGCATTTATAAAGTCTAAGTTTGAAGTTCCGGAGTCTGTTTAAAAGTACTTGTCGGAATAGAGATCACTTATACTTCAATTAGTAATGAGTCTTAAAGAGAACGCCGATAAAGATAAGTCGGAGTGCTTTACGCTAATAATTAAGAAACTCTTTTTTATTTAACGCAATTTAACTCTCGAATATTACTCCGATAAGGCTTTGAAAAACGTGATTTTAAGCGCGGTATAAAGCGTCTTTGAATATACGTTTGCTTAGTATAATCTCGCACTTACGATTATCGCTTTTGTTTTTTAGCTACGATTATCGATTGCTATTATTACGACGATTAGACCTTTTACCGCTTACTTTATCGATGCTATCGAGTCGAGCGATTAATACGAAGACGAGGCTTATTACGTAGACCGCTAATACAAAGGCAGCGGAAGTAATAAAAGCTGTAGCTACAACGGTAATAGCAATAAAGGCTTTAAAGGCTATACTAAAAAAGGATATAACAAAACTAGCAATCGAAGTTAAGATAATCGAGGCAATTACGGTGGTAGTAGTAAAAAAAAGAAAAAGCGCAACAACCCGTGCTGATCGCGCTGATAAACGCTGTTTTGTTTGCGGCGAGTTAAGTCACTTCTTTATTTAGCATAATAGCGAAGAGCGTAAGAAGTCTTACGATAATTAAAGACGCTAAGCTTAATACTATACGAAGGACGTAAGACTTAAAGAGTATACTTATTACTTCGTATAAGTTGAAAGAGTATAAGGCTTCGACTAGCAACTTTAGATCACTCTTGATTAGTAATCAACGGCTGCAACTTAATTCTTTATTGAATTAAGAACTATTAACGGCTAACACTTAATAATAGCGTTGTTCGAGAATGCAACCTATTATACTTTTATTTTTATCGACTTATTCAAGCTACTTTCGAATATCGTTTTTTTAAAGCACTTTTTACTCGATCGATACTCGGCTTGTAAATTCTAAAGGTTTATCTTCGATTTTAAAGCAGCCAACTTTTTTATTGCAAAAGAGCAACAAGTTAAGGCTTTAAGCAAGCTCCTTTTTCTTCGAATCAACCGAGGAACAGCCGATAAGAATACTATTAAGTTCGAAAGCAATATTACACGTATTATAAGCTTTATAATAGTAGATACTCCTTTTAGACTTATCGAATTCTATATTGTTAGTGTAAAGACCCTTTTCTTTATTTTACTCGAGGATATAAATCGACTTTAAGTCTATTATAACAATCTTGACAATATGCTCGTTTAAAGTAATAAGCGTATTTTAGTAATTCGTAAATAAGGCTACTTATTCTTTATGTTACAACTTAAAGACGCTTTTGCGGACGCGCACTTTACGAAACGAGAATTACGCTAGTTATACTGCAGATTCGGCCACTTATTTGTTTTACGCTTGCAAAAGGTTCTTGATCTTAACGGTCACGATGATGTCGATTTTAATACTTTAAAAAAGATCGAGAAGTTCTGCTATTAATATTAGATGCATAATGCAACTTCGAGCCGATACAAGTTCACTTTGAAAGATGATTTAAAGTTTAATTACTTTATTATTATAAACGTAATGCACTTAAACGGCAGATTAGTATTATACGTCGTCGATTTAGCTATTACTTTTTAAATTAAGCGCTTTTTAAAAGACATATCGGCTATTACTACTTGGAACGCGCTTAAAGAATGCTAGATTAATAGCTACTTCGATCTTTTCGATTTGATTATTCACGACTTAAGAACGAACTTTATAACAATTGAGTTCCGCGGTCTAATTAAGATAATGTCTATCGATATCAGCGAGATGCTTACGGAGGCTTATAATAGCGTAAGAAAGGTAGAAAGATATTATTAACTTCTACGACGAGCTTACGAGATCATCTCGGAAGAGATGCAAGACTTAAGAGTGATTAAAGAACAGATCTTGCAAATGACAATCAAAGCCGTCAACGATACCGCCGGACTAACAGGCTTAATACTTACTCTTTTCGTTTTTAGCGCTTACTTCCGCATGACTTACTTGGACTTACTAGTCCTTTTTACTACTATTAGAGCAGAGGCTATTAAGAAGGCTATAGCAGAAGTAAGAAGATTGCAAGCTGTACGGCAAGTAGCAGACGCTTTGAATATGCGCAATAGCCTTTTTACGATTAAGACGCTGGCTTTCCTTTTGCAAAGCTAAGTAAGAGTATAAAGAGAAAAGAAAAAAGACTAGCGCGCGCAATAGACCGGCCCTTACACTTTTATTGCAATGGAAGGCTATACGTGCACGGTTTAAATCAATAACAAAGCAGTTCAATTCAAAGCTATAATGGTCAAGCTATACTACTAAGAAAATACTGCTTAAAAAGACGAAGACGAAGAGCGTTTCGAAAAAGAAGGACTACTAGTAAAGAAAGCGCTACGTCGAAGTAGCAGAAACAGACGACTTTTAAAGCGTTATTGCACGGAAACTAAAGAGCTAGCGCAATTCCTTATTATATCAAGTGATATTAACACTTTCTTGACTCGGAAAGAGCAAACAGACCGTGAGCTAGTTACGAAACTACGAGCCGAAAGTGTAATTACTATCTTTGGCGAGATTTTCGAAGACTTATAACAACGAGAGATCGAAAGTTTGATTACACAAAGCGTATTTGAATTCATCTTATACGACCTTATAGAACACGCAAGAAAGCGTATTTTTAGCTTTCGTTTTGTTAACGAGCTTAAAAGTAAAGAAATAGCAACTTTATTCGAGAAGTTACGATTCGTTATACAAGCTTTCGCCGACGAAAAGAAAAGAGTGATTCTTACTTAATCTTTTGTTATATAACGCTCGAGCTAACGCTTTATCATTGCACTAGCGCCGGCACTTTTATTATTAAGGATTTCCTTTTATTTTCGTGATATTACGCAAGCTTATACTTAAAGCGATCATTTATTAAATAAGCTTATTTTAACACGCTTATCGAAAGAAATGATTAAGTTTTACTTCGAAAGAACAATCATAAAGATCCGTAAAGCATTATATAAGATTCTTAAAGCAAGTACCTTTTAGTAGTCAACATACTATACTTATTATAAAGAAAAGCTGTTTATAATCACTTCGATTTACGACTTTTGCTTTTTGATTTGTATTAAGAAAAGCATGTTTAAGCTTGTAAAGATGCAAGTAGACGACACTTATTACTTCGTCGACGATCGATTTGCAGTTAAAGAAAGGTTAGAACTTAAAAAGGCCGGCTTAAAAGCTAAGGATAAGACTAAGCTGACTTATATTACCGATATTAAGTTCAATAGCTGTATTTTAAAGCTACAAAAGGACGATATTATACTCTTTACACAAAAACAACAAGGCTAAAAGCTCGCTCTTGTCTTCGATAAACTGAACTATAAGTAAAAATACTTCGAGCAGCGCGCACGCGAAGCATATATTGCTTCTACTTGCTAATTTGAAGCTTTATTTGCTCTTTTAGTGGCAGCTTAGCATAAAGACCTTAGCAAAGACGAGGTAGCAGCTCTTAATAAGTGCTTTTAATAGATAATTAGTAATTAAAGCAAAGAGCTGAAATACGTTCTTATCGACCTTCGCTTAGCTAAGCTTTTTGTATTCGTAGATAGCTCTTTTGCAAACAATAAAAATCTATCTAACTAACTTAAGTACGTGATTATCTTAAAAAACGAAACACGTACGACCGAAAAAACCTTTAAGGTCACAAGCAACGTAATGCATTACAGCTTTACTAAAAGTAAAAGAGTTACTAAAAATGTTTTAGCTTTAGAAATCCTCGGAATAATAGCTAGAATAGACATTGCAATTGCTTTAAATACTACTTTAAATTAAATCACCGAATAGCTCTCGTTACTAAAGATACTAATAGTAGTAGCTACTGACTCTTACTCACTTTACGAGTGTTTAATAAAGCTCGGCACAATTAAGGAAAAGAAGCTTATGATCGATATAATAGCTTTACGATAATCTTACGAGCGCAAAGAGATCGCCGAAATACGCTAGATTGACGAGAAGAGCAATCTAATTGATTATATGACTAAAGCAAATCTAAACAAAGCTTTAAAGAGCTTCGTCGATTGTAATACGCTAGAAGTGCGTATTAAAAGATAAGTGGATCGAGAGTAGCAAAAGAGGTTAAGACAAAAAAATTCGGCAGAACTTCAAAACGCAAGAATTTATATAAGTACCAGGGCAGAGGACCAAGTTCTCTGTAGTGTCACCAACGGGCTAATTACTCATTAGTATATTATTAAATTAAATTTGATAATATTATATCGGACTTTATGTTTTGCTAAATATCAAACTTATTAAATAGATCGTAAAATAAAAGTAAATATATATAAAAGTATTATTATATTAAAAACTATCGAGTTTATAATTTATTATAAAAGGGAGACCCCCTTAAACCCCCCTTTATTACTCATCTTTTCTTTTTTATACCGGGGAGACCCCGGACCCCCTTTATTATTCATAATTATATATTTACTTATATTACGAAAATATTAGAAGTTACAAAAGTTACAAAAGTTATAGAAGTTATAGAAGTTATAGAAGTTACAGAAGTTATAGAAGTTACAGAAGTTACAGAAGTTACAAAAGTTACAGAAGTTACAGAAGTTACAGAAGTTATAAAAGTTACAAAAATTACAAAAGTTATTATCGAGTTTAT